TCAGCTCTGCGCACGCCCGGGGCCCCTCGCGCCCTCCATGTTGAGTGTGGCGCCTCGGCTCTGTGCTGCGGGCGGAAGTGTCCTCCCGTCTTGTGGTGTTCTGGCTTCCGGTTTTCCGCGTTCCGAGGTGCCCAGGTTCCAGCCTAGGCTCAACGGTGGAAGCCAGCGTTGATTTCCAGGTGTTTCCTCATCTACCTCCCAGGAATATGAATAAGCAGTGAGGTGGGAATTTTTCAAGGTGCCACCGCCTGGGTTCGAGAATGTTTGGTTGATACGCTTGTTTTTACTTTGTGTTTTTAGAAAAGGGTTCATTATGCGTATACCAGGGTGGCCAGGAACTCATAAAGATCCTCCGGCCTCTGCCTCCAGAGTGCTGGGATTAAATTTAAAAGCACCAGAAAGTTCTCTGAGTAAACAGAATAAACCTGTAGAAACGTTGTGTTCTTGCTTTTCTACTGTATGTGGACTGACTCCTGGAGAAAAAACAATCATATTACTAAAAATAAATTATACTGTGGAGGCTAGAGCGATGCCGCAGAGGTTTAGAGCACCCAGAGGACCTGGGTTCAATTTCCAGCACCCACATGGTAGCTCAGAACGGTCTGCAACTCCAGTTCCAGAGGATCTGATGCGGCTTCTGTGGCCTCTGCACATACATGGTGTACAGAAATACATTCAGATAAAATTCATAGACATAAAAGTAAATGGATATCCAAAATAAATCAACTATGTGTCATATAAGCCATGCTTCTTTTGAGTTTTGACTGGAGCTGGAACCTAGGGTATTTTGGGAGCTGGGCAGGCACTCCACCACTGAGGGTGTTGTTGGTTCACTTGCCTAGCAAGCGCTAGGCCCTGACTCAGTTCCTTGCACTGCTAAAGAAAACCAAACAGACTCGGGTGAACTGGAATCTCTTAGGTGACTCAGGCACTGTTTGCAAATTTCCACGAGTCTGCTTCTTGTGTTTCTGTGCGAGGAAAAGTTAGCCCGCTCTGAGTAGAATCTGTACTCTGTAAATATAAACCGCCATTCTCCTGGGGGGCGGGACTTGTAAAGCTTCATTTGACTACCCTGGGTTCCGTTTGTTTTCTTCTCACAACATCGGGTTGGGATAGATGATTCTAGACTCACTGCAATGAGAACTGGGGTGGCATCAAAGCAGCTTTCAAAGGTGTAGACTTCAGCATTGCAAAAACAAAAGAGCAACCCTTCCTTGATAAGCCAGAGGCCTGGGATTCCGGGGTTCCCCGGGGGAAGCCAAAAAATCCCTGTTTTCCTTCCCCCATTGCCACAAGTCAGATCTGACATTTCCTTTCCTTGTGTTTTGTGAAGTTCAGCAACACAGAAAAAGACAGCCCATTTCTTTTTCCTTCTTCTTCCTCCTCCTCTTTCTCCTTTTTCCTTCTCTCTCTCTCTTTTTTTTTTTCTTCTCCCAGACAGGGTTTCTCTGTGTATCCCTGGCTGTCCTGGAACTTGCTCTGTAGACCAGGTTGGCCTTGAACTCACACTCTGCCTGCCTCTGCCTCCAAGTTCTGGGATTAATGCCAAGTGCCACCACTGCAGGGCAAAGAAAAAAACAACAACAAAAAGAAAAATCATAGAGGCAGGTGGAGCTCTGTGAGTTCAAGGCCAGCCTGGGCTACAGAGTGAGATCCAGGACAGGCTCCAAAGCTACACAGAGAAACCCTGTCTCAAAAAAAAAAAAGAGAACTCATTTCTTACACATACACAATAGTAGTTAAGTCAAGAAAGCTGCAGCAGGGAAGGCTCACTGTCGTAAACATCCAGAAAAACAGGAGCTCCTTTGTCGTCAGGGGACAAAGCTACAACTTGGTTTTTCTTGTAGTTTACGGCTCAGCCCAGGGTCTTGTACAGACCGGGACCACTACCACTCGGTTACATTCCCTGGGACCTAGAAGATTTTCATTTCCTTTATTTTTTTGTTCTGAGGTCAGGCAACAATTCATTCCACACACCAGAACTGTGTTCTCCTGAGCCAGGTGCAGGAGGTGGGTTTTACAGCCAGAGATAGGCTGCGGAAAGCATCGATCAGTAAGTATATAAACAAACAAGCAAAAGAGAACTAAACTGAAGCAGGCGGCAGTGTGAGGCTGCCCATTTCCAAGTCCTGTTCCTTCTAAGGTGGGGACAGACAAGAGCAGACTGACCAGCTGACGTCAGACCTCCTCGGAAGGGGCTAAAGGCAGAAGAAACCTTCCGAGCTAGTTGAAGTAGCCTGCAGGGAGACGTGGCTCTTCCACAGCTCCTGGTTTGGGTGTTTGTTTTGCCTGAGACCTGTTACACAGGGTCTCCCTCTGACACTCTGGCTGGCCTGGAACTCAGTATGTAGACTAGATCTGCCTGCCTCTTCCTGCCAGGTGCTGCACTAAGGGTGTGGGCCACCGTGCCCAGCTCATCCGTTTTGTTCCTGTTTTTGTTTTTCAAGACAGTTTCTCTGTGGCTTTGGGACCTATCCTGGAACTCACTCTATAGACCAGGCTGGCCTTGGACTCGCAGAGATCAGCCTGGCTCTGCCCCCCCTCCCCAGAGTGCTGGGATCAAAGGCGTGCGCCGCCATCCTAGTTTTATGTTTGGACCATCAATTTTTTTTGTTGTTGTTGTTTTGTTTTTTGAGACAGGGTTTCTCTGTGTAGCTTTGCGCCTTTCCTGGGACTCACTTGGTAGCCCAGGCTGGCCTCGAACTCACAGAGATCCGCCTGGCTCTGCCTCCCAAGTGCTGGGATTAAAGGCATGCGCCATGCTTAGGTGACTCCATTCTTTTTCTTTCTTTCTTTTTTTTTTTCTCCTTGAGACAGGGTTTCTCTGTGTAGTTTTGGTGCCTGTCCTGGATCCCGCTCTGTAGATCACTGTAAATCAGGCTGGCCTTCAAACTCACAGAGATCTGCCTGTCTCTTCCTCCCAAGTACTGGGATTAAAGGCGTATGCCATTACCCGCCCCCGGCTGTGACTACATTTTTTTCTTGTTTATCTTTTGAGATAGGGTTACAATGGGCGAGGCTGGATGGCTCATACTTTTCAATCCCAGCACTCAGGAGACATAGCAGGCAGATCTCTGTGAGTTCAAGGCCAACCTGGTCTACAGAGAGCATTCCAAGACAGCCAGGGCAGGCAGTTACACAAAGAAATCCGTCGTTAAAAAACAAACAAACAAACAAAAACCCGGGTCCTCAACTCTGAAAAAAAAAAAAAAAAACATACACATGCAAAAAGATTTTTATTTAATGTATATGAATGTTTGCTTGTACATATGCACTGCACCATGTGGGTGCCTGGTGCCTGAGGAGGCCAGAATAGGGTTCCAGATCCCCTAGAGCTGGAGTTAAAGTTGACCTGCCACATGGGTGCTGGGACCCAAACCCAGGGCCTCAGCAAGAGCAGTCCGTGCTCCTAACCACTGAGCCATCCCACCAGCCCCACTCCACTTCACCCCCCCCCCCCTTTTGAGATAGGTTCTCACTACGTAAGAACTTGCTATAGAGAACAGGCTGCCTTAGACTCACAGAGATCAGACCGCCTCTCCTCTGGGTGCTGGGATTAGAGGTCTATGCACCATGCCCAACGTGGCCTTGAACTTTTGATACTCCGGCTCCAGCCTCCAGGGTGCTAGGATGACATGCCTTGTGCCACCAGACCTGGCTTCCATTTTGATTTTTAGTCTGGCTTTTGGGGGGCCTCGGTGCAGGAGTTTCGTTCAAAACAACAGCCCTCAAGTTTGCAAACAGTGGAAACCAACAAAGATGAACAGACCGCTGTGATTTTACTCAGTAATATGTTTTGAATGCTTCCTGTTCACATCGATGTATAAGGCAGTCAATCCGTATGACAAACAGTATGTAAAGAAAGTTGTCTCCAGAGTTAGAGGAGGAAGTTCCGGGGGTAGGGATGGTGCAGTGCCAGGCAGTAGATCTGCAAGGACACCAGGCTGGCACACACACGGCATCACACACACAGAGGTGGGGTGGCTGCTCAACACTGCTGGATTGCACTCTGTACCGGTCACCTGCTCTTCCAGCTGAAGTGGGAAGGCAGCGGTGCCTCTCACAGGGAACTTGAGGCTAAGACTGCGGCTGACAAGCTGAGGTCATGTCGTCATGGCCTAATGAGACTGAAACCTGCCCCAGACCATAGGCAGCCATGGCTGAGGAGTGCGCATGCCCAGTCTCTGCCGTAGCAGCAGAGGCAGTCAGCAGGCGTCAAAGTGGGGGCAGGCCTGTGGTAAAGCCACCCAGGGGTCAGTGAAGGGACAGCTGAGGTAAAGGTCTCCAGACAGAACTGTCCTGGACTTTCCAAGGTGGATCATGGCTGGATCAGGCTTCTGCTGGTATTCCAGGACTCTGCTCACATACCAAAGCGGGAGAGGTGGTGGGAAGGAAATGAGGGTTACACATGGGCTGGCACTCTGGGAAGTCTAGGTGAGCCGCGTCCCCCAAAGTCCATGCTCAGGAGCTCAGGTACACAAAGGGGCTTTTATAGGAAGGGAAAACGGACATGCTGAACACTAGGTGGGGTCATCAACTTTTGCTGGAACACGTAGTTGACCTTGACCTATCCCGACAAGTCTGAAGTTCCTGAGACCTTGCTTTTCTCCAGGTTCAACCTAGGAGTACGTACTTGTGTCAGTGGCGGTACAGGACACGCAGGGGAAGGAGCCACAATATCAGATTCAACAAGAAGTCTTGGGGTTCGTAAACGTAAAGATTATTTAGCAGGCAAGACTTCAAGTCGGCCGTTTTTTGTTTGCTTTTGAGAATTTAGGGGATGACAAATGACATCGGCAAAGGGGCGGGCACTGGGACACCGGCTGGGCCATGCGTGGGCAGAGGGGGCAATGATATCGGCAGCTCTCCAGGGCTGCAGCACCCGCTCCAGGAGCCCCTTAACTGACGCTCAGCAGCACCGGCCCAGCGTGGCTTGGCGCACGCGCAGAACAGACCGTTCCTTGGCCGCTGGCGCGCACGCGCGCGCCCCGCCCGGGATTCCGCCACTCCAGTCATGGCGGTTGTCGGGGCCGTCCTGGGTCCCGCCCTCGCTGACGTACCGCGGGTCACCTGACTCAGCTGCGGGCTGAAGAGACACAAGGGAAGTCGCCGTCGCGGGAGCTAGAGCCTCCGACCCAGGACTCCCGCGCCATGCCGTCCGAGAAGACCTTCAAGCAGCGCCGCAGCTTCGGTGCGTGCCCCGGGCCCTGGGGTGGGAGATCCGGGTGGTGTCGGGAGGGGTGGTGGCCGGGATCCCGGTGGTGTCATCAGGGGCCGGGACGTGCCAGGGGCCGGTGGGGTCTCCCTCTCCATCCCCCAGCTTCGCGATCCCTGCGGGCTGAGTCCCCTGGGTCGCCCGGGCCCGGCGCGTCACCTTGGTCGTCGGTGGTCTGGGCGTCCCCGCCGGGACAGGAAACCCGACCCGACTGGCGGAGGGGACCGTACCGCGGCGCTCTCGGCTGTGTCTTTAGTGGGCCCCAGGTCCGGGCGCCCGCAAGCCCCGGGACAGCACCCCGCCGCCTCCGCTCGGACAGTCGCCTGGGGACGTTGGTGTAGGAGAGATTAGCCTTTGTCTGCTAATGGAAATTTGATAGCTGTTCAATTTGCTTATAGTGATCTCTAGTTATTCTGGAACAGTTGTCAAGACAGGAGTAAGGGGAGTGCGAAAAGTGAGACGTGCACATTAGCCAGAACCCGGATCCCCCGAGTGGCCGAGGGTAAACTCTCCAAAGCTCCATCCGTCTTTACCTTAGAACGCGTTTTAGGTGGTTTTCTCGAGTTCGCCCTCATCTCCCCCTATCCCAGCATTCTGAAGGAAACGCGGGGATCTGATGACTGCCGCTTTCCTTGCTTCTGACTTTAGTGGTCCTGAGTGTGGGCACAGAGTTTAGAGGTGTGCCATACAGATGTTGTTGTTTGGAGCGGCCCCTTTGTGGAGGCCACGCCAGCCTTGCTTCTCCATTTTAAAGTATCTAGATTGGTGGAGCGCTGGAGTCTCCTATCTGCCTTGAGGGGATGCTTACTGGGTGGATGTAGGGCTCACTCCAAACAGACCCTTTGTAGCTGAAGAACCTGGGTGGGGCCTAGGGCAGTGAGGCTCAGGATCCGCCTAGTGGCAGAATCCCTTTAGCTTTCTGTCATACATTCTTGCACTTCCAGTAAGTAGCCATCATCCCCAGTGCTGAAAGGGGACTAAGACATTCTGGAGGCCAGGCACTCTTACAGATCCTTAGAAAGACAGGACCAACTTCAAGTTAAAACTGATTGAGAGGCAGGCGGATCAGATCTGAGTTCAAGGCCAGCAAGTTCCAGGACAGCCACGCTACACAGAGAACCCTGTCTGGGGGGAAAAAAAATAACAAACAAAACTGATGAAATTAATTCAGGGTTCACTCTTCTCAAAAGTGGTTCATCCCCCGCTAGGGTGACCCATTTATTTACCAACAAACCTGTTTCCCACCCAGTGCTCATTATTTTCAGGATGGTCCTAAGCACCAGTGAACCTGTGTCTCTAGGGAAGTTTGTGGCCAAAATATATAGCCCCAGGGACTGACCCGACTCCTGGAGGCAAGATTCCCATCAAATTCAACTAGATGTCAATCAAGCTTTTAATCCTAGCACTGGGGAGGCAGAGGCAGACCTGTCTTGAGTTTGAGGCCAGCCTGACTTCAGGCTAGCCAGGTCTTCATAGTGAGACCCTCCCCCTCTCAAAACAAACAAAATAACCTAGGTGGCTCGGGAACTTAAGCTGTCGCTCAGGGCTGGGCCCAATGGAGAGATAACTTAGTAATGGGGGCTGGGGTGGCATCTGTTCTTCCAGGCACTAGAAAAAACAATACTTAGACTTCTACCCGCTGATTATCTGCTCCTGCGACTCCTGTTCCCAGAGGCTAAGGAAAGGAGCCTAAGCCTGGACTTTGCTGGGCGTCTGTAGGAGCTCACTGCCATGTTGTGTTTTTTATTTGGTCATTAGTCAACTCTCTACAGGCCTGGGTGGGAGGCACTTGGGATGCTGAGAGGCTGAAGCTGTCAATGGTTGCATGGGCTGGTGTCTGGAGAGAGGCATGATAGATATGTCCTACAGTTAAAGGACCGGTCTCCTCCAGTACAAACTGTTGGCCTCAGAGCAGCTGTCTGCTTACAGATGCCCCTAGCATGCCCTGAATGTCCCCACTCTTCCAGGGATACCCCAGTTCACTGTCCCTGTAGCCAAAGGCTGAGCAAGTCCTACGGGGCCATCAGTTTTGTCCCTTGTAGTAATTATACTTTATTATTACTTTATTAAAGTAATTAATAAAGACAACTAATAGCTGGGCAGTGGTGGTGCTCGCCTTTAATCCCAGCACTCAGGAGGCAGAAGCAGGTGGATCTCTGAGTGAGTTTGAGGCCAGTCTGGTTTACAGAGTAAGTTCCAGGACAGCTGAGGCTACACAGAGAGACGCTTGTCTCAAAAAAAGCAAAACCTAAAGCTTCCTGTCTTTCCCTTTGGGGCCTTATTTTGGGACAAATGAGAGTGACATCGTAGTTTCTGGTGGAGCCCTTTGGCCCGTTCTTTTCCTTCTCAAATTGTAGGTGAGAACTGTTCCTACTCGAAGAAATCTGACTCTGCCTGAGCATTCCCGTCTTAACTAGTTGGCTCTTTGTTGTGGTGGGTTGGTTGGTTATTTTAAACAGACTGGGCTGGCCTTGAATTTACAGAGATCTTCCTGTCTCTGCCTTCAAGTGCTGGGATTAAAGGTGTGGGCCACCACGCCCAGTTTTTATTTTTATTTTTAAAAGAAGAGCTCAAGCTGGGAGGTGGTAGTGCACACCTTTAATCCTAGCATTCTTAAAACCAAAAAAGGAAGCTTGCCCAGCTGGGGTGATTTTAAGTATTGGCTAGGAACATGGGAGCGAAACCATGTGATTGCACCTAACACAGGAGTTATTTCCATGGCCTTTCTAAAAGGTGATCAAAAAGTTCTTTTAACCCACATGCAGTTGGCAGTGATACAGAAATTTGTCCGTCATGTTGGCCACAGCATCATTTTTTTCTGGAGCCTTCTCAAGATTTTTCACAACACTGTTTGCAAACACCATGAGTCCTACCCAAAGTGTCATGGTTCTGTTTTGTTTTGCTTAACGCCACCTCCTCCTTTGTGAGTGACGTGTCTCCAGCTGTATGGCCGAGTCGTGGGCTTTTTCCTGTTAGCGTAGAAAGCCTGGTGCAGTGTTGAAAATGAAGATAAGACTGGCGCTTGGCCTCCCGGCTTTGGTCAGCCAGGAGGCGAGGAGTTCAAGGTCATCCTTAACTACGTGATGAGTTTGAGGCCAAGCTGTGTCACAGGAGACTATCTCCAAAACCAGACAATGAAACAGAGCTATTCTCAGGAAAAGTGTTCATCAGCAGACTATGGGGTTTGGATTTGGGGTAGGGGGGTTTGAGAGAGCGTCAAACACTGTAGCCCAGGTGCACAGCTCTAGTTTCAGCACTGGGAAGACTCAGGCAAGAGGGTCTGCAGTTTGAAGCCAGCCTGGGATACATAGACCATTTCAGAAAAGAAATGAAACAAATCCTCAATGGTACCAAGTGGCTCCCCTTCCTTAACCAGAAGTGCTAAGTGAAAATTGCATTAGTCCTTGGTTTTTCCAAGTTGGACTGAAAAACTAACAAAACTTGACAGGAGTATCGGGGACTATGGGGGTCCAGCCCCTTGATAGTCCCCAGGGTCTGGGAAGAATATACAACCAGCTGATAATTTCTATGTACACGAAACTCCTTAGTTCATACACTTTATTATTCTGTGATAGTCTCTAAGATTCTATTTTGTTCTCATGTCTAGCTCCTTTCTTGCCTGACTTCTCTCTATATTTATCTACTACTGTCCCCTCTAGGTTCTATCTTAATTCCTTCATCTAGTTCTGTCCCTTCTAGGTTCTCATCTATCTAGTTCTTTCCCTTATCAGCTCCTCTCCCATCTCCTCCTCTCTCATCTGGCTCTTCCTCATCTTGTTCTTCCCCATCTGGCTCTTCCTCATCTTCCATCTCGTTCCTCTAGTCCTTTCTTCTAGCCCTTCAATCTAGTTCTTCCCCATCTCAGTTTGTTCCTCTCAAGTTCTTACCCATCTAGTTCTTCCATTCGTCCTGTGCCCTGGAAGTCCCCGTATATAAAGGGAGGGTCCAAGCTAAATTGCGTAAAGCTATTACTTAACGTCCACCTCTCCCAGGCGGTGTCTCCTTGTGGAATTTACCTTAAGTCAGGAGACTCGCCTGTGGGTTGTTATCATTGTTAGTCCTCGGAAGTTGGGCGCCCACCTGGGCGGTGTTTCCTGTAGTCCTTGAAAGTGGCTAAGAGAGATAATCTGATTCCAGAGAAAGCCTTTCCTGAGGCTGTTCTCCAAATACCTGGAATGTGTATGTCCAGAGAGTGATCAGTCTACACTGTTAGCCCTTCTAAGGAAAAAACCAACTGGGAAAACTATGAAGGCACACATGATTTCCGTAACAGAATACAGCTGATGTATAACAAGCCAAGTAACACCAAAAACTCCTTGGGATTTGGCTTCCTCTGGAGGAATTCCTTGATCCCTTCAGGTAGTGACTTTGCCATAACTATCTGAGTTCTTATGATATTCCTGCGGCCCGCAGCACAGGAGAGATTGGAAGACACCCCCTTCTTCCCAAGTTACAGTTAACCTGCTCTGTGTGGCTATCCATCTGGGTTTGCAGCCCCTTGGAATGAGGGTTTACCCTCCGGGCTGTGTTGAACTGCCTGATAGACCTGCTGTTGCTGTGGGGCCCACTGACTGCCTCCGTGCTCAGTGGTGAGATGTCATCCGTACCCGAAGTCCAGGGAAAGGTCCCCACTGCTGCTCTGCCTCAATACGGGACCATCACCAGCAGGAATTGGTAGCATGGCCCCTGATGTCACTGTGTCTCTTCTTTCTTGCAGAACAAAGAGTGGAAGATGTCCGGCTCATACGGGAACAGCACCCCACCAAGATCCCGGTAGGTCCTACTGTGGCTGTGACGATACTTCTGGCCCCACCACCGGCCAGCTCCCCCTCCCCCCACAGGAGCCCCTGGACTCTGGCTTTGTGTACCCACCTAACCACACGCTTCTCTTCCGAATCGGAACTTGTTGCTCTTGTGCCTGTCGAAGGGGAAAGGGACAAGTGGGCCAGAACTTAGCTTTTTTCCTTTTCTCCGTGGTATCCAGATGGAACCCAGGGCCTGAGCACGTGACTACTAAACTCTGCTCCAGCCGTCACTGCTAGGGAAACAAGGATGACTTCTGTGGGACTCCGCAGTCCTCAGGGTGGTGGCGTGGCTGCTTTGCAGGAGATGAAGGGGCATGACTGAGCCCCTTACTGAGTGTCTTGCTGACAGACAGCCATCAGTACCCCCTACGCGGTGCTCCCTGGTTTGAAGTCAGGCATGGACAGGCCAGGGTTCAAAGTGTCTCATGTTCTACACCAGTCCCCGCATTCTGGGCGGAATTCTGGTGTCCTGCTCTTTCACAGTAGAGGAGGACTTAGCCTCTCAGGATGTCAGCTGTCCCTGGGTTAGAAGGGAGCCCTAGTGCCAAGTGCTGCAGGTGTCTCTCTGTGTAGCTTTCTCACCAACCCCATCATACCATTCTCAAAGGGACAAGTCAAAGAGGGAGGGGTGGGGGAGGGGGACATGTTGTTCTAAATGGTTGGACATTTCCCAGTCTGTCCTCACGCGGGGGTAAAGCTTCCTGGGCAGGGCCCGGTAAGGAGCTTTTCCTGAACTGAAACAGTCCTTCATTCGGACTGCCTGCCCGACCTACTTGCAGGAAACACAGCCGCCTGAGCCTGCCAGGATCTGCAGGCAACTTCCTGCAAGGCTGTGGTCTGCGTGTACAGCAGCAGCTCCTTTCTACAGCAGCTTGGGATATTTGCAGAAACTCAGCTGTTGATCTGCTTGTGACACCAAGCAAGTGTGAGAGCCAGGCTCAGCGCTGCCTAGTTGAGAATAGCGGCCAGAGTGTCTGGCTCCCAGGCATTCCAGGCTGGAAACCTTGAGGGCAGAGGCCTGTTTCATACCAACCAGTCACATGTCTTCCACCATGACCTGTACATCTTCCCAAATTGGAGAGTGAAGGAAAAGCAGAAGTTAAGAACTGGAGAGGGGGGTTGGGGATTTAGCTCAGTGGTAGAGCACTTGCCTAGCAAGTGCAAGGCCCTGGGTTCGGTCCTCAGATCTAAAAAAAAAAAAAAATGGGCTGGAGAGATGACTCAGGTTAAGAGCACTACTTGTTCTTCCAAAAGTCCTGAGTTCAATTCCCAGCAACCACATGGTGGCTCACAACCATCTGTAATGAGATCTAACGCTCTCTTCTGGCCTTTAGGGATATGTGCAGACAGAACACTGCATACATAAAATAAATAATAAATCTTTAAAAAAAAAAAAAAAGAACTGGAGAGGGAGCCAGATATGCTTAGAAGATTGTTTCATTACGGGGATTCCCAACAAGGGGCTGGAACCTGCTCAGGGACAGCCCTCTAACGTTCCCACACTAATGACCTTCTAGAAGAGTGCCACAGTCTTTCTTACATGTCCTTAACTACCCTGCACTTTTGAAGGGTCTGCCTCATAAACCCAGGTATGTGGCACCCACAGCTGGCATTTCCTGTGGATTCCATGCTTCTGAGCAATCCACAGGATGAAGTTTTCAATCTCCCAGGAATGAGAATGGCAGCTTTTGAGAGATGGCCTTTCGAGGAACCACATGTAGGTCATGTGCAGATGGGCGCTTTCCCTCCAGAAGCATGTCGCTGTGTTCCTTTTTCCATGACCAGGCAGGGATTTCTGTTCTCTGGGTGGATACATGGCACTTGGAAACTGGTGTGCTGAGGTTCTAAGGCCAGTCAATGCTCAGATCTTCACAGCAGCTTTTTGTGTAGTTTTGGTGTTAAGGCTGGTCTCTATAATCCAGATTAGTCCATAATTCGAGGCAGTGAGCCTCAGCCTCCAAATACTGGGATTATGCATGTGCCCCATGTCCATACCTAGCTTTTTGGGTTTGTTGTTGTTAAATTGTTTGGTTTTTTTTTTTTTTTTTGAGAAAGAATTTCAGCCCTGGCTGTCCTGGATTTCGCTCTGTAGACCAGGCTGGCCTTGAACTCACAGAGATCCACCTGCCTCTACCTCCTGAGTGCTGGGATTAAAGGTGTGAGCCACCACCACACCCGGCTGCTTTTACTAACATTTGTTAAAAATTATGTTTTGGGTAGAGAGATGGCTCAGTGGCATAGAATACTTGATGCTCTCACAGAGGACCTGGGTTTGATTCCTAGCACCCACATGGCAGCTCACAGCCATCTGACCCATAAAACTTATGGCTGTATATATTACTGGGTATGAAGAGGTTCATGTCTGTGATCCTAGCACTTAGGAGGCTGATGCAGGTGGATAGCCATGAGTTAAAGGCTATCCTGGGCTATGGTGTAAAACTGTTTTTAAAAAAACAGCCAGATATGGTGACATACACCTTTAATCCTAGCAAAACAGTTTTAACAACAAAAAGGGTGCCTGGTGGCCAGTACATGTCCTGTGCCACATTTCGCAGACAGAGCTGTGAATGAATGCTGGTCACAGGAGTGTTATGGGGAAGCTAATGGAAGACTGGGTTAGGCCCAACTCTACATAGCACATGCTGGCCACAGCATGGGGAGCGTTGTACCTGTTGCTAAGTGTCTCCGGCCTTTGCAGGTGATAATAGAGCGATACAAGGGTGAGAAGCAACTGCCCGTCCTGGACAAAACCAAGTTCCTTGTACCTGATCACGTGAACATGAGCGAGCTCATCAAGATAATTAGGTATTGGGCCATTTCTTACCTGTTTCCTTGAGTGACACTTCTCCTTTCCCCATCTTGGTGCCAGCCGTAGGTCCCTCCTACTTCTTAATGTCCTTGTAAGTCAGGCGGGTCCCCCCTGCAGCTGCATGTATCTCAGGACAGCTATGAATGTCGTCTAGCATTGATAGAAGCCATCACATCTGAGGGGCTAAAGTGGACATATACACTGTACGACGATTCTTTGAAATTTTACTAGATTGCTGCTGGCTCATTGGAGATCCCTATCCTAGTAAACTGTCAGGAGTACTTAAGCTTGTGGACAGTGAGAGTTAGTAAGAGAATGTGGACTCAGAACTGCAGCAACCTGAAAGGCTATGGCCAGTTGTAGATTTTGAATACTGATGGCTATTTGGATGACAGTTTCAAACTGGCGTCAGGTAGAGAGCCAGTCCCTCCTGATTCCAGCCATCGCTGAGGGCTGTGACATGCTAAGGAGAGGGCTGTGGGCTTGCTTAGTTGTGCCAGATTAGTGGGTTGGTTTTTTGTTTTTGGTTTTTTTAGTGGCCCAAGTTCTTCACAGTATGGCAATCTCAGTGAGTCTCCCCACTGCCTTCTCTCCACAGAAGGCGCTTACAGCTTAACGCCAATCAAGCTTTCTTCCTCCTGGTGAACGGGCACAGCATGGTGAGTGTGTCCACGCCCATTTCTGAAGTGTACGAGAGTGAGAAGGATGAAGACGGCTTTCTGTACATGGTGTATGCCTCCCAGGAGACATTTGGAACAGCACTGGCTGTGTAAGACTAAAACAATGCCTAATGTTTGTTAAGCCCTTATCAAGGAAAAAAGGGACGTCACCAGCGGATGCTGGTCAGCTCACACTCACAGATCAGAACGTAGGCGCCCACCTAGGGTGTTAGGAACTATTTGTCAGCCAGAAACTGAGCTCCATGCAAGCGCATTCAGCTTGGAAACTCATCTAAACTAGGCTCTCTTGTGTTCAAACTTTAGAAGTTTAAAAATAAAATACTTTGCATCCTAAGTTGCCAATAAAACAGACCAAGTTCTTTTGACATTTTTCTCCTCAGTAGGGATTTAAAATGGAACAGCATCATCAGGAGCAGTCTCTTCCTGGGATCTGCTGCCTTCTCTAAAAGGGCTTCAACTCAGTAGATAAGTCTGCCTAAGCGGTCCCTTGGCCCGGGTTGTCTAGCAGAGGACCCCAGGGCTCTGGCTTTGACCAACACAGGTCAGATATGTAGGCTGTAGCTCTAAGTAGCCTGGTCCTGACCCCCAGCTGCACCACCACGTTCACCCTCAACGGTGCAAGGAAACTTATTCGCTGCTGTCTAGATGCTACCACAGCACTCACCACTGCTCAGAGGCCAGGTCCAGCCTTGAACAAGGGGTTGCTTGGTCCAGCTTCGTTCTTAAGAGGCTGCAAAGTGTTTTTCAACTGGTTTGGATTTTGCCTGGCCCGTCCCTGCTCCAGGGAGGGGAGCAGGCAGGTGTGCAGTGCTGGCCTTCGGCCGCAGCTGTCCAACAGTAGACTGAACTCTGAAGTTGAAATGCACTCCCATCTGCACTTGGCTTACAGCTATAGATAATGTGTCAGTGTGTAACTGTCGTTGTAAGAGTAGTTCTGTCAGAGAGCTGCTGAGATTCTCCCACGTCACCTCAGTCCATTAGATGTCAGCTGTGAAGTCAACAGCAGCAGGAGACAGACACATGCTCTTGATGATATCCATGGCCAGTTCCAACTAATGCAAACCACTGCTTCCTGCTACCTGCATGTGGTCCACTGTGACACTCAGGCCATCCTTGGTCACTCACTCATCTTTGTGATCTGAGAATCTCAGTGAGAACTGCCTGCTGTCATGGAGGGAAACCAACATAGCCACCTCCTACCCTACTCCTTACAGTACCCCTCCCCCTCCCTGCATGCAGCTGTCCACTTGCTAACTTTCAATTTGTTATTTTATTTACATCATGTATATTCTGACTACCCTGTTTCGTGTAGGTTGTGTGCGTCATTATTATGTCCCCGGTTTTTATAACTACGGTGCGATCAATAAGGATTCCTGTAATACTGCTTTAAAAATGCTGCTCAGACGGGCGGCCTTCATTTATAGGACACATGTACACTTTGATGCACTAAGTGAATAAAGGCACAATTGAACCTGTCCTGAGAGCTGTCTCATGGTGTCAGCGTACGAACTGGGCCTGCAGTGTGCTGAGGGGGAGGGCATCTTCCTCTCCTTGGTCAACACATTGCCACTAGTTCCTGCTTTTAAAATCTCTGGATAGCTGACTCATCTGCCAGCTGTCAGGATGCAAGCTGGAGCTGTGGTAGTAACACACACGATGGCTTTGCCCACCAGAGCACGCACAGCCAAGGATGAGTGTGGGGTGGGCGGCTTTACTCATGTGGACGGACAGCTGCTGACACTGGGAGACAGTGGAAGCAACTTCAGCTTCCACTGGCAAGTGAGTCTCACCAGCGCTGTCACCAGGTCCCCGTTCTGCAAGACCAGGTCGGCCATCTCACATCCCAGGGTTCCAACTGTCAAAGATTGTGCAGCTGAAACATGTTTAACCCAGTCAAATATTTGTACGGTGGGGAGGACACTGTTCAAAGCTGGGAACCTTGGCAGGAAGCAGAGCAGGGCCCAAGAGTCCTGGAAATTGGAGGAGCCAAGGAAGAAGGTGCCTCACCTGGAGGAGAACTGAGCTGGGAAAGGGTCCTGCCTCTGACAAACATCTGAGGACATCGAACACTTGAGTTTTTTTTAATTTTTATTTTCCGTACATTAAATTTACTCATAAAAACAGTCTAAAAATGTACAATTTTTCCTTTTTAACAAAGTATAATAAAACATAAAAACCCCAAAAACAGAATACTTGACATTTACAATTCAAAATCAAATTAGCAGAATATTAAATATTTACAAAACTATATCTTTTAAAAATATTTATAAAGTTACATGCAATTTTGTAGAATTGACAAAAGAATGGCTCAAAAATGGGGAGAATTGTCCTTCATTCCTAAAAAGAAAATATGCCCAATAGAATCTGAAGGTTTCAGTCTTGGTACCAACATCTCCTCTGTGTGTGCGTGAGAACTGACCTGTGCTGAGGGCTGGGCCACTGCCCGCCTTGTGGTAGGGCAGTGACCTGGACCTGGACCTGGCCTTGCCAGTACAGTATGTGGTTTTCTGAAATATTGCCAAGTGTTGACTACAGATGCTTGCATTCAGTCAAACTCGGACAGGCCAGCAGTCCAGTCTCTGGACCCCGTGGGTTCTTAGGCCACCTGACTTGCTCTATGGGAGTCATCTACGCTTTGGAAAGGACAGCTCTCCCTGCTCAGGTTCCCCAGGACTGCCCTTGGGGATGAGGCTGAGCAGACAGAGTCCCTACAACCTTTTAAGACTTTAGCAAGTAATGTCACCCGTTAGCTGGCTGTAAAACTAGCACGTGTCAGACCAAATGCCAGGGAAGCAAGATAGAGTGACAGGGACGGAGTGCGGAGAGACCTAGTTCCCATCGGGCTGTCCTCAAGGGACTGTCATGGCACACATGTAGGCGAAGGTACCGCCACTGCGAATGCCTCTGACGTGCGCGTGGTACCCCAGGCTGACCTGCGCGCAGGACCGGAAGCCTGACGAGCTCCACACGGGAGCTGCTAACTATTGCATTAACAGGCCAGCTGCTGTCATCTTTGCGAGATGAGCGTGCCGCTGGTTTCCTAATACCCAACCGTATATATGTTGAAGAAGTATTTTGTCTTTATTGTAAGAGCTAGCTCCCACTCCTCAGTGCTCTTCAGAAGTTAGGAGTTTTCAACATTAAAACACTTTCCAATTTTCGCTATCAAGCATGAAATAAAAACTAGAAAGGAAGGTAGAAAATTGAGTAGTTTGCTTAAACAACAAAAAGGTCACATAGCTGTTTTGTCCCAACATCATGCCCTCCTTCCTATCTGAATATCCCACTTCCTACCCTGAGATGTTAACACAGGATTCGAACTGACGCCGCAGTCCCGGGGCTATGCCCACCTGGGTACCACTGCCACCTGACACAGCAGTTTCAGGAAAATGACTGGAAAGGGCTGGTCTGTTTGGTGTGTAACAAGTCTCCCAGTGAAAGTGTTGGCCATGCTGATGGCCTCTACAGGCTATGGGAGTGAGCCCCACCCACAAACATCTGCCCATGATCCCATGTTGTGCATGCTCCTTTGCGTGATATAATCCTTGCCGGCTTCACAGAAATGCCACACCACACAAGCTCTTCCAAAGACAACCGGCGGCTTCCAGACACAGACTTCTGTCTGGACAGCGGAGATGGTGCTGGGGCTCACTTGCCTCAGCTGAATGCCAAGTCATGTGGGAGTTGCCACAGCAGACTGCTGTCTTTCAGGTTAACAGCTGAAAGGGTAACAAGACACTTCCATTCCCTATACTGACCACAAAACAAAAAACTTAAATATGATTTTTTTCTTTTGCTATGAGACAGTTTTCAACAATTTCTGTGTTGAAATAGGATTTATTTAAAATATTTCTTTGTTTAAAAAAACCAAAAAATTTAAAAGTTTGGCTTTCAGCACATATCCAGGCCACTGTAACGGCCTTCAGAAATATTAAAATCGTAAACATCAATGAACACTCTAAGTCTTCCTTATTAACACAATGCGACCAATCCCAGTCTGGTGCTCTTTAAGGCAAAGTTGTGTCAGTTCTTGTATTTGACATTTGTAGTGTTACTGAGTGAGAGATCAACAGTGCATCCCCTAACGCCTCATCACCATCACCTCAGAACAGATGTGATACTGTGTGCCATGGACAGAACAGAGGTCTATCAATCCTGCATTGCATAGAATCGACAACACTCAAGCCTTCCGTGTGGGTCTCCACGGATAGAAAGCCCATCTTAGAATATGAAGCCTTGCATCACAGCGCCTCCAATTATAGGGTATTTTGTGATTTACACTAATTTTGCATGAGGGTGATTGTCCCATCTGAAGAATGGTCTAAGGACTGAGATTTTCTTCTCCATAAATACGAAGCTGGAAAATCCTTGGCAAGATCTTACCATTAATTTTTTAACACCGAAGGCTTCAGCATTTTAAATATTATTTGAGCATAAAATTCCCTTTAACCTCGAAGGTCTAAGCCCCTCATGCTTCCGTTGTGGTGGGTTGAAACGTTCATACCCTGTTGAGGAGTGAGGACCCACCCCCACCCCTGGTCTGGACTGTAACTGGTGAGTGGTTTCGAGGAGTCTTGCATCTCTCTACTGAAGTTTTCCAGGCAATTTTAACGGAATTAACTATCAACACACAGCCTACCACAAAAGAAGCTGACAGTTTCCAGTCTTGTTCATAAATCACAGGACTGTATTACTGCTGAATGTCTGTCTCAAGTGTAAATTCATCAGCAGTAAGCTCTGGGGCTGGGGTCCTGGGGGAAGCCATTTGAGACACGACAACTTGCCAGCTTCCTGAAGAATGAGGAGCATCGGTCAAAGCCAACTCACAAAGTCGAGTCATTCCCATGTCCTCAGGAGTTGGTTCTTGTTTGGAGAGAGCAGGCTCAAAGCCACCAATGGGAGGGGTGGTCTCAAGCCTCGGTGACTGGATTCCCTGGGACTTGGACCCTTAGAAACGAAGTTGTCAAGAGTGAGCTATGTCTTATCTACTAATATTGTGTAAATTTGTTTACAGAAAAGAATATTAAAAACCTGGAACTGCTCCACGTGTCTGCAGAAGGACACCCTGCGACCTCTGGGTGTACTAGGCCGAGCAGCCTGCTGGTGCCAACTCCAATGCCCACTGATGGAGTCCCCTACTTGTCGGGTCCCAGAAGAGTCTGCCTCCCAGACTGAAAGGGTCCTTGTCAGGTAGTGCAATCCTTAAGAAGCCAGACATGAGGCTCCCACTCTAGGAAACAGCAAAATCCAGTTGGCACTTCCTAGCCCAAAGGGGTCTTGGATCCGACTGGGGAACTCCACTTGAGAGAACTCCGACCTGCAGTCTTAACTCAGGTCGTGCATAGCTGCCCTGGAATTTATGTGTGAGCCTAGAAGGACCAGCGATCTTCAGGAGACAGGTCTCCATACTGCAACAACGGTGTGGTGGCCACATCACTGCTGTGGAGATGTCTACTAGGCAGTCCTTATATCAAGCTCCAAACTAGGATTTTGGCAATGAAATCGAGTTTGACGCACTTCTATGCTAGATTCTCTATCCAGTATAGTAAAGTAAAGCACCTTTGGGTTAAAAATATTAAGCTCCACAGCAACTCGACTTCAGTTTTCTATGTGATTTTCCTTAGGTCTCCATGGCTCCATAGCAACTTGACTTCAGTTCTCTATGTGATTTTTCATGGCTTAATAAAATGTTCTGTTGCCAAAAAAAAAAAAAAAAGGATCAGTCCGTGGAGTCCAGACTTTCTGCTGGAGGGGCATATTTCAACCTAAAAGTTCCTGGAGAGAAAGAATGAGAGAGAGAGAGAAAGAGAGAGAAGAGGGTGAAGCCTGCGTCAGTTGTGGAAGTGCACATCCCACCCACCTTCCCCTGAGCTCGCTCCACTGAGGACCGACTACTCTGCACAGCTGGGTGTTACGGGTTTCCAAGACGCTGGGAGAGGCGACAAGAGAGCAGCACAGCCCGCCTCTCCACGCCTTGGATCTCGTTCTCTGGACACAGACCGTGTACCCGGGCTGGCAGCACACCCACGCGGGCAGGAAAGGCCCGGACTTAGAAGGTGCAGACCAGCTCTGGGAAGGGAGGCAGCCACCTGTACCACCACTGGCTCTCTCAGGTCACAGGTTTCGGCTTCTAAAAGCTCTCTAGGTGGTGAAGGTCAACAGGAAACTGCACAACCTGACATGGAGGTGCTGGGAGCCCAGAGATGGGCAAAGTGGGACCAACTTTCCTAACTTGACTATAATTTTTTCAAAACAAATAGCAGTTGCAAACCTAGTGATCCAGGTGTGTGGTAATAATGTTAATCCCAGCACTCTGGAGGCCAAGACAAGAGGAACATGAGTTCAAAGCCAGACAATAAAACAACACCACAAGAATAAGCCTGGTATAATATGGTAGACATATTTAAATTTAAATAATGAAGACAAACTATAGAAAATAAGAGACAAGGGGAAGGAAGCTGCAGCCAGTCAGCAAGACACAAGGGCACACAGCAGCCCTGAATGGACAGACCAGCAGAGGCGGCTGTGGTGGCCAAGGAAACCGTAACCACTGCCCCACCCTTAATTTTCACATATCTTCCAGGAGGTGGCAGCAATCACTGGCTGCTCCAACAGCCCTGGAAGTTCCATCCAGCTCATTCTGCTTAAATAAGGTGTACTGTTTTTAAGGTGTGTGTGTGTGTGTGTGTGTGTGTGTGTGTGTGTGTGTGTGTGTGTGTGTG